GTTCAATTCAAACAAGTCCTCGGGCCCTGAGTTGTCAAGACTATCACCTTAATTGTTAGCAGCATGTATCTGCTAAGCCCTGGGTTCAAATGAGTGGAATTTCAAGATCAGGATGAGGGCCAGTTAAGGTTACAGTTGGGTGTCGGCAAGGTTCATGTAAACTTATTGTTAGCAAGAATGTTATGTGTACACAATCATGTGTAATGTCGTATTGGATTAATAGCAGTTAAATGTTGGGATGCAGTATCGAACAATAACCACAACAATTATTATATAAAGTATTTGGTTGTTTTAGTGTAATATTCATTTCTCACATATTTTTTTTAGAAATAAAGTACCATTCAGCAACTTGTTGGGAAAGAGGAGTCACAAACTGTTGATGAATATATTTAATTAACTACATCCACATAAAATACAATTTTATTAACAGTATCTTGATTTATGGGTTATTAGATGACATTATTTTCATATTAATTAAAAATAAAATTAACAAATAAATTACAAAATCAGTGTGAAAATATCGCAATAATCAATTAAAATGTCAAACCAGCCAATTGTTTCAATTATGCATTTTTGAGTGTAACCTCATCCGCCCCCCCCTGTTGAGAGAACAAGAGAGTTGCTGTAGGCCTCCATTGTCCCTTTTGATAAGTGGCAATGCACCATATAATTTTCCTGTCAAATGCCAGACGAATATACTTGTCAATGCAAGGGCAGAGCTCTGGCACTCTATGGGCTGACCAGTATATGCCTTGTGGCTATGCATCCTATTAAGCCTTTGGCAAGATGCAATGCAACCCAATGCACCCTACTTTATTATTATTCTGTCTAATGGCAGACCATTTTATTTGTGAAGGGGAGAGTGCTGAATGAGTTAACCCCTTAATTAAGTGGCATGTGCCCTGATGCACCCTATTTTAGTATTTTACTCTGTCTAACACCAGATGATTTTACTTGTCAAGTGGAGGGTGCTGCCACTCAATGGGTTAAGTGGAATATTATACTAATTGCTTTGAACAAAGGTGATTCCCCTTTGTGGCATAAAATTTAACCAGGGCATTCTTCTTCAAGTTTTCAACACATCTCAGGATTTTTCTTGGCATCTGGAAAGGTGTAATAGAATACATCCAATCAGTCATGTACCGGTACTATATTGTCTAAATTAATGTAATTTGATCTACATGCTTATGCTACACCATTATTATGCTATTGAACATTATATTATTTTTTCCTTTCAAATATTAAAATATGTCATTTCAGACATAGTCATAGAAGTTAGAGTGTTGTGAAATAGTCATCCCCACATATTCGTCAAGAAAAGTTCATGTCTATTTGTTGGCCTTTTTAAGTTCAGAACTATAAACTTTACTTGTACAACTATCTATTTGGCCTCCTATATGTTAGCCATGAAAAGAGATTTTAAAAAAATCACAACTCAAAATTGTAGTGTGAGCCTTGCAAGCTTTTATTCAAAACTTGAGAGACAGAGACACTACAGAGATCCTTGTTAGGAACAGTTTTGATCTTTTTTTGCCCATTTATACAACCATATATTGGGCCTCCTATGACAATATATTAAAACCCTAGGATAAGTTGGAACTATTGACACCATTTGGACTTGACACTTGTCCATCATTTTAAGGTATTTCCGTTACAATACTGTATGTGAAAATTGATGTTGGATCTTTGGGTAAGGACTCCAGAGGAAAACAAAAACTATTACCTGCCCAAATGGCAAAATAAAACACAAAGAAAAGTGATAAAGCCAGAAAAACACCAGCTGCTGTACAGCGTCGTTATATGTAAATTTCGTATCCAATTTTTTCTTTTAAAAAACGGTATTTAGTACAAATGAAGCACAAAAAAGAGTTTAATGCATCTTACCGGTAAAAAGAAGTGTTTCTTCTTGATGTTAAAGAATTGTGGCATCACGAAGCCATGCAAAAACTCTGCATTTCTTCTTGATGTTTTTTTATATAAACATTCAGCAGAGTTTCAGCCACAGATTAAGAGGTCCTCTTAATCTGTGGTTTCAGCTTTTTGTGCCAAAACCAGGGGGGTGAAATCACAGAATAAAGTACACAGAAGGCCGACTTCTTCGTTTTTCCTATGATTTTCCTATGATTTTGGCGTAACCACTGAGCTATACTATATTACTGGAGGACCTGCTCGGGAAAAAAAGTGAAGCCAAAAACATGGCGGATCTGACGCCATTGCCATGACTACTGGTCCCTAAATTCATGGCAACTACCACTGTCCCAACCGCGATCCTAAGTTTTCGACAATGTACTTCACCCCCCTGGTTTCAGCACAGATATTTTATGATTTCGCTTGTTTTTGAGGTAAAAATCGCACTGAAAATCTTGATATTTTTCTCCTATAACTTGGTTGATTTACAATGTCGAGGATCCTGCCTTTTTGCGCCGCTCGTAGATGTATGAGATGTACAAGAAGAATCTTTTTATTCACCGGTAAGATTTTTATATATTGTAGAAAATTTGAAGCAGAAGTACAAACTACAAAGTTTATAATACTACGAACATAAAAGTATATGAACAGCAAATTATTAGCAGACATAACAACCTGTAAATGGTTGGCAATTCTGTACATTTTATTGTTCTTTTGATTTGGTGCTACTACTGCTATAGCGATATTTGCGTAGGGTTTCATGGCTGGTTAATATGATTTCAAAGTCCTTGCTGTAGTGTCTGCACACTTGTATTTATTTAGTATTTTAGTATATTAAATTTTCCTTGACAAACTTTGAGTGATATCCTTGCCAGGTTCTTGCCAGCAGTTGTTTATAATTACTGTGTAGTTATATGAAATCTCACTTACATGACATGTAGACAAGTGAACAAATACTTTGCTAACTAGGCGGCTAGGCCAAAGACATCAGGTTCAAACCATTCAATACCCATTGCAATCAAGCAATTACCATAAACATATAAGCCCCCCCCTTCCCCCAATATAAGCCCCCCTGTGTATAATCCCATCATATTTACTCAGGCTATTCCGTAGTGATGGGCGATACCGAGTACTCGGTATTCGATACCAGCGATACCACAAACAGTGGTATCGGTATCGATTACTGACGTGGTATCGTTCGATACTTGCACCCTTTTTTAAACGACTTGTTTAATTTCACTTCTTGATTGAATAAGACTTAATAACCACTAAAATAACTCTTAATATTCCAAATGTGGTGCGCCAAGTCATGTATAGGAAATATTTATTACGTTTTGGGCTTTTGGTTTACTTATAGCTTTAGTTAGGTTACATACCGTAATGTAATATGTTTTTCCGCACCGGCAGGTATCTAAAGTAGCCGATACTAGCAATTTAAATACTCCCTTCCGGTATCGAAAATTGAAATTTTGTGTTTATTTTGGCATCGAAATAGGTATCGGTATCGGCCGATACCGATCTTAAAAGTATCGGTATCGGTATCGAATTAAAAATCCTGGTATCGCCCATCACTACTATTCCGAATATAAGCCCCTCCCCCCTCTAATGTAAGCCAGGCCTGTGTGTACAAGCCCATGGGCTTATATTATTTGACAGGGGCTGGTTGTATCAAGCCCGTTTAGCTTAATTTCTCATGAATCAGTCAACTTAAATATTCTGCACTGAATATGTAGTTGTAAACATCATTCTATTAAGGTTCAAAACTTCTAGTTTGGTTGTTGAATGAATCTATAGAGTCTGAGTTGCTTTCTATTTTGAGCTTAACCAACGTTTAAGCTAAACAGGCTTGATACAATTGGCTCCAGGTATATTTATTAATGCAGCTTTAGCCATACATATTAGAATACAAGCCCAGGGCTAGCTGGCTTACATTCAGAGGCCGGTTTACAATATCTCGCCCAACATATAGTTTGTCAGAGTTCTATAAATCCCACAGTCATTAGAGGTAATATAGGAATGACAGGTGCACAATATGTGTGCCAGTCACCTTGGCATTGACCGGCCAACCTTATGCTCTGACAATTAACCTAAATTGATTGATGATATGTTTGAGAGCAGTTTCAGGTTTCAGTGGTGGTGTCCCCAGTATTGGAGTAGAGCTCAAATTTCAGTTAGATATATTATTTGTGATTGTTGTGAATTTTCTCACTTAGATTATTTGTGATATATTGTAATTATATATATATAAATGTAAAATGAAACTTTGGGAAGTTAAGAAATACAATTAATTGACAAGACTGTCCCCTTGACAAGTAAAATTGTCAGGCATTAGACTGCCTGAGTAAAATAATAAGCTTGCCGGGTGCAATTAACTGCTGTATGCTTTAAAGTTGGTTGCATGCTTTAAAGTTGGTTGCAAGCTAGCTGGGCTTATCAATTTATTTCATCCGTAATGAACCCATTTTTAATCGTTTAAGTGGCAATGCGCCCCACTACAATATTTTACTCTGTCCAATGCCAGACAATTTTATTCGTCAAGTTGAGAGTGCTGCCCCTCAATGGGTTCAGTTGCATTGCACCCTACTGTATATGTTTGTGTTACTTTGTCTAACGCCAACAATTTTACTTGTCAACAAGAGAGCACAGTGGTACGTGCTGAATGGGTTAACATATAAATAATGTCTACTCTACAGTAAATTTCCCTGTAATTGGACTTTGGAGCCTGGTATATGTGACTCACTATTTCTTCAAAGTGTGTTCTAATGATACTAGCTGTCACTATTTTATAAATATAATTGACATTTCTCATTTAGGGTGATCCGGGATGTAAGTCATGTGGACAAGTTCTTTGGAATGTTCAAATAACAAGAATAGTGGTGTTATAGTAGTGGTGGCACTTGCCAGACCTACCGTAACTGGAAAAACTAACAATGACTTTTCTCCAAAGTCTTATATCAGGCTTTTTTTCAGGGATTTTTTAGGGCCGTTAAACGGCCCCAAAAACTCAATCTTGAATTGAGTTTTGAAACTCAATCTTCTCACCAAAGTTTCAGTGCAGTAAAAATGAAGTTGTTTGAGTTAAATTTGTGACGTGTGGAAATTAGTTTTCAGTTGGAAACCCGACAATTAAGAAAAAATGGCTGGAATTCATCTCACAACACAAGAAAAACTATGCATTCGCCATCGTTAACCAGTTTATAGTGTCCCTCAATGCCCCTGCTTTAACACATTCCGTCTCAACTACATTTGTTGAGTACAAGTGTCAGCCCCCCGGTAGGGGGGGGGTGTGCAACCACCACAGCTGTTCAGCTAAACTCAATCTTCTCTGCAAAAACGGACCCAAGAGAAAATCCTGAAAAAAACCCTGTTATTTGTACTACAAGAAATGGCCCAAGGCATCAAAACAGGGGACAGCCAAAGAATCACCCATGGAGCTACAGTTATAATAATACTCTATCACATATTGTAACTTGATTGTACAGTTATAATTATTAATTTGATAATTATTCTTTGACCAAGTTTAATTAAAATAATACAAAATTAATCATGATTTTGAACAAACATGTTGCAGCTTGGTACTGAGTTTCATTAACAGACAACAGTGGCATGGACTCATGCATTGTTGGAAAATTCTGCATCTCTATTGTTTTGACACTATTTTCATGACCAATTTTGTTGTTTTGACTTCATTTTGACCAAGTCAGTCAGGTGAGGATCTATCTTGTCTAACATTTAGAGATCTTGTCTTGTTCAAGTGAGATCTCAAACTGAGCCAGGTTATCCATGCAAACTGAAAGGAATTTCCACTATAAAAATATTAAAATAACCACACAGTGAAGTCTCGCTTACTGCAATAAAGCAAAACTAGAGACTCACAATTAACTTAATATTTGAGGGATGGGGCAAACAAGCTAATAGCCTTTTAAAGACACATACAACAAACTATCATACAAATGATACAATACAATACAATCAGAGAGCACATTAAACAGGGACCGCGGAGACGGGGGGGCTGGGGGGGCTTTAGCCCCCCCCCCACTTTTTTTGACAGCCAAAATTATTAAAATAGAAATCTAAATGAAACTTTCTAAATTAATTAATTGGGGGTTTTATTGATGATTTAGCCCCCCCACTCTCTAATACGCTCCGCGGGCCCTGACATATTAAACTACAATGTACAATTCTGGATATGAAACATGCCTTCTCACTTCAGCTGGCCCATTGAACTATAAATAAACTGGAAGGCTAACTCAGGGGGGGAAATTGAAGCCAGTGCATTTTAGTTTTTCTGAGTTATGAGCAGAAATACTCAACACTGAACGTTGGGCTATATATCAAATTGAAGCTATTGAAAAACGCTATTTGGTGTAGAAATTTCAAGACTTTAGCTAAAAGGGAAATATTGAAAAACTACAAACATAATTACCGATAATTTGCCGTTTTGCAGTTGTTTTTGTATTTTTTAAATATTTTTCTTTTCGCTGAAGTGTTGAAATTTCCACACCGAATAGCAATTTTCAATAGCTTCAATTGGATATATAGTCCGTCGTTTGGGGTCAAGTATTTCTGCTCATAACTCAGAAAAACTATTTTGGCTTCATCAAATAATAGGCCTTTATCATAGCAGTTAGCCTTCCAGTTTATTTATAGTTCAATGAGCTGGCCCTACTAGGCAGCTGAGCTTTTTCCTGCACAGTTCACCACAAGCTCATGCATAACAAAACCCTTGGCTAAATATATAAAACCTTAATTTCCTCTTTAATACACCAGAACATCATAGTTTCATCATACATGTACTGTTGTGCAACTCGATATTGCGAGGGATGAAACATTGCATAAAGTTAATACAGTAAATACAAAAAGGTTTATCTACAACCACATTATAAACACTTGTGGCTTATTTTCTAAAAAATAGAGTACATTTTACCATTTATTCCTAACATTTTTTCATGAAATACTAAAATAAAAATGTGAATTTTAAAATGTTTACCTGTTTATAGTTGACTGCATGTTTATAGACTGCTGTTTATAGCCCGGCTTGAAATATCGTTTTTGTCCACATTTTGGGAGGTTTTAATAGTTGTTTGTTGTCTTTCACGGACGAGAATAACGTGTACGACTTTCACATCCTTGAACAAATGGTCAAACGTCGAAAAAATATGTCGAAAATAACAAAACAACAAGAATTCACTGCAAAAATCCGAAATATTTTTTCAGAAACCAGGGGGGGTGAAAACTGTGGCGGGCTCACAATTGAGCCTTGTTCAGTGGCAATTACCATGAATTTAGGGACCAGTAGTCATGGAAATGGCGTCATTTTCACTCAAAATCCGCCATGTTTTTGGCTTCACTTGGTTGACTGAACGAAGTATAGGAGCAGGTCCTCCAGTTATTATACAGCTCAGTGGGCGTAACTCGTGATTCGTCATCAAATGCTGACGCCATGGTCCTAGCCAGTGCGCGTCTGAGAGGCATTCACCCCCCTGATATCATTCAAAATGGTGGATGTCCAGGGGGGGAATGCCTCTCAAACCCGCACTGGCTAGGACCATGGCGTCAGCATTTTGATGATGAATCATGGCGTGGCAGCGTTACTCGAGTCGACCTTCTGTGTACCTTATTCTGTGGTGAAATCGTCATCTGAAGCCGAGGATTGACGAGGATTTGGGACCAGTGGCGTCATTCTGGCGTCAGCAGACGTGAAAATCCGCCATGTTTTTGGCGACACTCTTTCATGCCGAGCGCTTCCTCCAGATATATTATAGCTCAGTGGTACAGATCAGTGTGGAGACATTTTTTACGCGCTTTTATATATCTGGTGAAATTATGGAAATTACATGGCGGAATATTTTGAAATTCAATCTGATTCAACCACCGATGAAAATCTTACAATTTGTGATATTTTCTGATAAAATTTGGTGATCAATGTTTAGGGACGAATGTGAATGACTAACAATGATTCCAAGTCGACCTGAAGTTGTTGGTTTTGATGACTATGGCTTCGCGATTTTTGCTGAAGGATCACTGCATGCTAGCGATGATCACAGATGTCATGACTACAGGTTCGTATGCTATTCAAACTTCACTTGTATAATTTTAGAAAGCTTCTTCGATCTTTCTACTTTAGGAGCTACATGCATGTCTTTTATATCTTGAAGCATCGAGAAGCTTTGACCAATACATATTCAGAATTTGCGGCATCTCACTCGATAGATCCAGCTATAATTATGCAGAGTCGGGCATAGGTGGGCATTTGATTTTTTGAGCAAATTTTTATTCAAATGCCCCACCGTCGGGCAATAAATATTGGTCAAATGCCTCACCATTTTGCAATAAATTGCAATAAATACTATATTAATAAAAGTCATTAAGTTCAAATTGCTCCAACTTGATGATCAAATGATGATCAAATATGCCATTGATGATCAAATACCCCACATATGCCCGACCCCCCCTCTGGGGGTTAACATTGATAGGTGCATTATTGTCGAAGGGTTTTGGTGATGGATTTCGAGTGGAAATTTTATATATTTTATATTAGACCTAACCAGGAACGGTTGCAAAAAATATGAAACTATAGACTGAAGTCGAACCTGCGGCCCTACACTATCTTCCACTGCGGCCCTCTATAAGACCAACTGAGCTACAGAGTCCAGTTGCCGAGCCTTTAGCTGCAATGTATATGGATACCATAAACCTCCAAATATAAGCCCACCTGAGTACAAGCCTGTGGACCCCCATTCACTAATGCTCAGGCCATTACGAACATAAACCCCCACCCCCACGAATATAAGCCCTTCTGTGTACAAGCCCATGGGCTTATTATTGGACAGGTATTTATAATGCAGCGATGGGGATCCCAACAGCTCCTGACTGGAAAGCTTGGAAATTGCACGGCCGAGATTTCGAAAATTTAATAGAAAATATATATAGAAAGCATGAAAATTGCACGCCAATATCTCGGGTGCGCAGTACAAAGTTTCCACACTGGCAACAGCTCAGACAAGTGACAATAATCACATTGCAGTATTATAATATGTTAACCAACTGTTAACCATGTTTTATGTGTAGATTATATACTGTATGTTTATACATGTACCATATTTCGTTTCGTTCACAGTATAGCTTACAAGTATGATAAATATTATTACTAACATCAAATGTCGTCCATATGTAAACCTCCTGTATATAAGCCCCCCCCCCTCCTATATAAGCCCTCCAATGTATGTATAAGCCCATCAAAAAATGCTTATGGAGTATGAATGAATATAAACCCACCTGGCTTACATTTGGAGGTTTAAGGTATATACTGAGGTGATGCCAATGTAACTCGATAGAACTACTGTAATGTTGAACTTTCTTGATGGAAATTTCAGATTCATTTGTAGAGAGACAAGTAAATTAGTTATGCACAAAGCCTAGTTTGAAGTGCATTACAACCCAATGTTTTGACACTTTTGTCAAGGGCCATAAGAAATTTCTTTCATACTATCCTTCAGAAATTTCAGAAAATCCACTGGGTACATAATTATACTGAGTGTATACATTAACAGTTTACCATATCCAAGTTATGGCTGTAAATATATGCCTGGCTGTAAATATATGCCAGGCTGCATTCCATGTAAACCTCACATGGAAGATGATTTGAGGCTGTGTAATTGGTGTGCACCAACAGATGTCAAGTTCAACGGCAGCCCAGGTCATTGCAAGCACCACTTGAATGAAGTTTCATTTAGCCATTTATAGGTTAAAAATATTAAACTTTAAACTTTAAGACATATAACTGCTAGGCTGATAATTTAATAACACGAAGAAACTACTAGATCCCAAACAGTAATTCAAGCTGTTTCACTTTAATTAACAATTCAAATTAATAATTATGTCATTATATATAGTGTCATTGAACAACCGTTTTGTGATATCAATACATTGCAAGCCACCTGGAAAAACATGGAAAGAAATTTTGATCCGAATTGTTCTGTTTCACCTCAAAAGGTTTGCACCATTTGTTTATATTTTTAGGCTGGGAACACGGCCTAAAAGTATGAACTTATGAATCCAATTGTGGTACTTAATAAACAGTTATTTAAATAGAAATTTACGGTTAGCATTAAATGTTTCTACCGTACCACTGGATTTAGTAGGATGCAGGTTGACAATCTTGCCAAGATCCCAGCAAGGTCTTGACAAGATCTTACCCAAGATCTTGACTTTGTTGGCATCTCACTCGATTGATTAATAGTTTATGGGTTTTGTAGATGGAAATTATAGAGTGGAAGTTTTGTAGATGGAAGTTATCGAGAGTAAATTTTATATTTATATACATTTATTATATAAAGTATAGTAGTGCTTTATAGAGATTTCGAGCACTGATAAAAGTGATAATCTCTCATGTGAGATTATTCATGATAATCTCACATGTGAAAATTATCGCTTTTCAATTATCGCTTTTCTGTAAAAATTATCACTTTTCAAAGACTGTCCTTTATATAATAAACAGAATAATACATGGGTGCTTGGAAATACCAGATTTATTTCTCGTGTTGAACATGATATTCGTGTTGAACATGTTCAACACTCGAAATAAATCTGGTATTTCCGCGCACCCATGTATTATTCTCTATTTAATATTAGACTTAACCAGGAATAGCTGCCAAAAATGCAACTATATTGTACGTCCTCTGGCAGAAATCGAATCTACAGTGTACGACCTTGCGATTCCGGTGCGGCTCTACCCAAGATTTTTCCAAGATCTTGCCAAGATACTGTATTACATAAATTCTGCAAGGTCATGCATGAAACTCTTGCAATATCTTGCGATGATCCCGTAGGATCTTACCAAAAATCGTGCAAGATCGTACTGAAAAGATATGAAATGGATTTAATCTAAACAATATTACTTAATAAATGGTTTGAAAACTTTAAAATTAAGTAATCAGCTCCTGACTTGTTCAAGATTGTGAATTTGAACATATTTATATGATTGGTTTGATCAAGGTTCACTGTCTATAACTGTACATAATGGATGAAATTAGTACGGCTTAAGAATCGAGGTTCAAATTACACACTAAGGCAGTAAGGGCTTTATATGGTTGAGAATACGTACAGTAGTTCTATAGGACCCAATATGAAATTATTATATATAGTATGCAGTTGTCGCAGCCGTTGTACATATAACACAAGACGTGCTAATCTGTGATCTGCCGTTGTAAACGGAACGGGGCCGACACCTAAAATTCCATATTTTAATTGATTATAATTCCTTTCCAAAATATACGAGTTTCGTTGTACCAGTAGCTATCGTCGTTGTATTTCGTCCTTCTTGCATGCGAGAGGTTCCTAATCACGAAAGTTCATATGTTTTGAAGTGTAAAATTTAAGACCTTATCAAATCTCCGTAGTAGGTTAAACCTTGCTTGAGTTCGCTATTAACTCGCCCAGTGGCAGCAGTCTCGCCCATAACTAGCCCATTACATACTGTAAATAAACCGAGCCATGAAGTAAACTCGGTATGAATGTAAAACAATTCAAAGCAGGAAGACTTCCAGTTCAATAAAAGAAAAGACTCTTTGATATTGAATTCAATACTATATATACCTATTCAGTTAACAGTGCGTAATAACAGAATTGGTTTACTACATAATGAGATAAATTATATATAGGCTATAAATTATAGTAAGTTATTCTGTCACTGTTTATGAGATTGATGTTTTGGTAAAACTGCTCTCAGAATGCTGCAGGGAATAGCGTTTCTAAACCTAAGAAGAAAAAATGTTTGTTGACTTTGAACTTTCTGCTAGTAACAGTGAAATGTACAGTACTTGCACATGTTTGCTAGTAACCAAAAAAGCCAAGGTAAACCCTTGATCTTCCATGCCAAAACGTAAGTTTTAAAACATCTTGTTTTAGTTAAGGAATTTTATAAAGGACGGGATACCGCCTGCTTTAAGAGGAGAGTTTTGGCAACTTCTGGTTGGTAGCAAGTTATTAAAGAATAACGCGAAATTCGTGTACCAGGTGTGTATTTTAATCATTGTCACAGAGACACTCATATATTTATCATTTATAGATCATCCACTTGGGGGATTCGACGAAATTTTACCCGAAGTGATGGCATTCCCGGGGGGTTTCACCCCGCGTTAAAGAACCCACCAAGTTGAGAATGAACTTGTTGAATAACTAATTGAATTAAGTGAAATTGCTTAATTTTTTATTGATACCTGAGTTTTTGACGTTTCCTCTTTAAAATATTTGAACCTGCATCCTTTGGATCATTGAAGGTAACATACTGTACTGTACTCCTAATATTCACGTAAAAATCTGCAAGAAATCTTTAGTTCTCGAGGTTTTGTTGATTTGTTCCTATGTTTTGTTCCGCCATGATATTTTTTTCATTATGCTAAGCGCGTGGTTCCACGCGGGTGAACGGTGTGGGACACTATAACATACTGTATACCTCTGTTGTGGTATATTGTGATTTCTTACGCTGCACTTTGTAATAATATAATTGCGTGGAATACCGTAAAATATCTCGGCGTCATGCACGTGGTACAAAATAATGCTGTTTTTTGATTGGACAATTAAGTTGAGGTATAGTTAACACTAATACAGTATTAGTGTCTAGTCGATCTGGCTGTAGGGTAGGATTCGAATCCCTGCATATAAAGTGGTTTTTTTACATTTCTCAGAAAAGGACAGAGAGTGTATGTGTTCCATTAAGTAGATCGTAATCACTGATCTAATAATACACTGGATATAGCTTCTATACCTATCAAAAGTGAAGCCAACTCGCAAGCGTGCAAATTTACTTCCGGATACCCAAAGGAGCGATAATTAATATGGCGTTATATGGAGAAATGTGATGTCGAAGCAAATATTTTGTAAATATGAGCCGTTTTCGTAACGCGATCATGCTTATTTGTGCTTCTTATGAAAGATGAGTGTCTTATGATTAATTTGTAGTAAAATTGCTGCCTGTTACGCTTACACATCGCTCTAGAATTTGTTTGAAGAGTGGCATGTTTATGGTCCCGAGTCCGAGTTGTGGTTTATGCTGTCTACGAGTTTAATAATGAAGAGGAGTTTTAAATAATAATGAAGAGGATTATAATACTAAACTGCTTCTGGATTTTCTTCTTATCATGGTGAGGACAATATTCTACGCCGTAAGAAATAACGGTTTAATACTTGTTTTCAAAGATAAAAAGAGCATTTGAGTTTACAACATTGTGTGTTAATAGTGTTATTTTGCCTATAATTCCAACTCTGTAATCTAAAAACAGTAACACTGCACTGGAAATGTTTCGTAATACGTGATATGTTGTTCGTTTTGTTATTTTCTTTATGAATCAGTGTATAATTATAAACGACATGTGGTATAAATATTACAGGGTTCCCACCTTTTAATCAAAGCCCCGTTTACACGAGCAAATTTTATTTGACAAATTTCGTATGTCAAAGATATTTTGCTGGTGTAGATGATAAATTTGTGACAAATTCATTGTGACAAATGCATTTGATCAAAAGCTAGCATGTTAGCTTTTGATCAAATGCATTTGTCACAATGAAATTTGTCAAATAAATGTGCTTGTGTAAACGGGGCTTATATAAAATCCAAGGAATTTTCCAGGATTTTCAAGGACCTTATCAATTTTCAAGGACTTTCAAGGACCTAGGAACTGGACAAATCTTTGAAAATGGCCTAAGGCTTGCTACTAAACTCAAGGAAAGCAAGAATGTCATGTACTATACTAATTCATTGTTCTTAATACAGTAAACTTGTTTTGGACTATCATACTTAATTTTTATTGAAATTGAAGAAAATGAGTAATTTAGGCATCCTTCAACTATTACCAGCCCAACTGAAAGAAAATTCCAGGACTTGCAAGGACTGTA